AAAAAAAAAAAAGATTTTACCACTTTTTAAAAATTTTTTATTTATTTTTGAGAGAGAGACACACACACAGAGTGTGAGCAGGGGAGGGACAGAGAAAGGGAGACACAGAATCAGAAGCAGGCTCCATGTTCTGAGCTGTCATTGCAGAGCCTGATGCAGGGTTGAACTCAACAAACCACAAGATCGTGACCTGAGCCAAAGTCGGATGCTTAACTGAGCCACCCAGGTGCCCCTAGATTTTACCATTTTTAAGCAGGTTTTTTATTTGTTACAATCAATAATTAATTAAATTTACTTATTTTTTAAAAAGCTTTTGAATAATTTTGAGACTCTCTTTGTGGGAACTTTAAAAGAAGGCCCAGTGCCTGCCTGATACAGAACAGGTAGGTACTCACTAATGGAATCCACCCTATCCCGCCTTCCAATACACAGAGCTGTTTGTCTCTTTGGCACTAGATGTGTGCGCTCAACAGGCATGGATTCCTCTGGGTTGGATCCATCACATGGATAGTTGTCAAAGACTGACCTCTCCTGATGTTAATTTTGTGAATATTTTACTTCACTGTGCAGTGAGCTAAACGATGCGGGATTAAATGTTCTCATTTCTGAGCTGCGAAGTGTTGAAACTGATCAGGAAATGAAGGCAGAATGTCCATCCTTTGCAAGAAGAATCAGCCAGCCTGTGTTGCTGCCACTCTTGGCTGCTGATTGGAATGCAGCTGTTAAGGCAGCTGTTTCACTGTTTGCCCAACTTGAAAGGACACTGCCAAGTGGCAAATATTTTTCATAACAACATTTTACTTTTGCTAGGAACAACAATGCATTTTTTTGAGCTCCAGCAGTGTGCCAAACATGACAGATTTATTACCCAGCAGGTTCACAACCTAGACTGAGCATGCATGCTCATTTCCATTCCTAATATTTATAAAAAGAATAAATAAGCCCCAAAGGAAGCCTCTACACAAAACATCTCTACAGCTTAATTATTTGTTGGAATGACAGCAGATTAACTTGTGAAAATGAAATATCTCTGAAAGAAAAAATGAAAATCTAGAAATGTCAAAGCAAAAAGGGAAGGGTTAAATATTTTAAACCTGTCTAATGTGACCCAAGAATTAGTTTATCCCACATACCCAGGACAGTAGCAGCAGTAGCACAGGAAACACATCATCTTCTGAATCCCCTACAAATCGTGGGACCCATTCTGGGTCATGCAGTTAATTTGTGTTGTATGAGAATTACTGACTAAGTTCTTAGTAAATAACTGTGTTGTATTTGACAGGCTGTGAACTGGATGGGGTAGGGCTGAGGCATTATCAACTATTTTATTTAACGGTAAAAGCAGTATGCCAAATATAAGCATTCAGAGTTAAGAAAGCACATTTAAATGCATAACTGTGATTTTCTTGCAAATCCCAAAGTGCAAAGATCATGATCATATTAGGTTGCTTTCCGTCCTCAATAAATTCTCCCTAGTCAGACGTCCATGGCTTCAAAAAAGGCTTATGGAGAAATGCTCTAGGCATGTAGAGGGATCCCGTACCCACCTATTGTTTGTTCCAGTTGAAGTGATACTATAAGTCAACCTTAACCACATTAACCACCGTTAATAACATTTAGTGTGTAATTCCCACAAGCCTTTATGAAGACTGCAGAGGTTGGGCCAGAGGGAGGCATTCTTGTTTTAATAAACCACCATCATCAGAGCTCGAGTAGGGATGTTTCTGAAGGTGAACTGGGCTGAACATAGTCAATCGAGGTTCTGATTTCTGTTTTCTCTACTATTTACTAAATGGTAATTAAATCATAAATGACAACAGTCTAGTCAGCCTGTTTCCTCAAATTGCAAAAGCATACATTATCACAAAGTTGGCATGACTTCTTGAAGAAAGAGGGACAAAGTTTCATACACTGGATAAAGGTTACCAAGGGAGTCAGTCAGCCACAGAAACTTTGTACTCTTTGTTTTTCAGGATATGGTAAAACAGTAAATGCAAATCATGGATGAAATTTATAAGATCGCTTCCACAGAAAGGATCCAGCAGTTAGAAAAAGAACTGGCTTTGCAACTGACTGAACTAAAGTCTGAGATAGAAGAACAGGAGACTCATCAAGCTTACAGGTAAAGTGAGAAGGCATGGTCTTCAGGGGCTTCAGCTCCCACTTTCACCCCATAGTCTCTATCAGCTCCCTCTTATTGTTTATATAGACAATTGGCATTATCTCAAGCTCAGATTTTACGGCTGGCCATGAGTTTCTCCTGTATTCTAGTATTGCTAAGACATTTAGAGGCAATATCCTACCAAGGAAAATAGAAAAGTGCTCACAAATACCACTGTTTTAAAGTTCCAAATCCTATGGGGCGCCTGGGTGGCTCAGTTGGTTGAGCGTCCGACTTCAGCTCAGGTCATGATCTCATGCTCCGTGAGTTCAAGCCCCGTGTCAGGCTCTGTGCTGACAGCTCAGAGCCTGGAGCCTGTTTCAGATTCTGTGTCTCCCCCTCTCTCTGCCCCTCCCCTGCTCATGCTCGGTTTCTCTCTCTCAAAAATTAAAAAAATAAAAAAACAAAAATTTAAAGTTCCAGATGCTATTATACAAATCATGCTAAGTGCAAAGAGGTCTCATTTTTTCCAAAAATATTTTAATTGAATTTGACCTTGATTTTGATGAGGCATATAAAAACTGAAATAATACTAGATATTCGGTAATGAATTCTGCAAATGGTATTTTATTAGGAGCTTTTCTATAGGTAAATGCATCCAGTGATAGCAATCTCTTTTGAAGAAACAAGTAAAAAGATCAGCCCCTAAGTGGCAAGTCTCATGGGCTCAGGACCTTCAAATCCCTCTCTTTCTATTATTGCTACAATTGGTCAAGAGGAACAATATGAGGTCCCTGTTAGGTTGAATAGCCAAGTAAACACAATGTGGATGGTGAGGGTTGGGGAAAGAAGATCAGGGAAAGAAGCAGTAAATACATGCATTACTACCTCATTCCAAAGATGATTCTGAAGAACTAGTATTTAGTGTGTTTTATAATTTGTATTTGAAGCCACTGGTTGTAGGAAGCAGATCAAAGATTGTATGATGAAGCGAAAAGGTAATGGAACCACGCAAGTCATTATTTCTCTCAACTTTGGTTTCTTTCTGTGAAGAATGAGGTTACAAATATGTACCTTGCCTATATTATAAGGATCAAGTGAGGTAATGCATGTTAAAGCACTTTGAAAACTAGAAGACACTGTACAAAGATCAAGTGTCAATATTGTTACAGCTTCAGTGTCTCAGGGTCAAACAAGTGTCTCCTCTTTGTACATGTGTTAGAAAGTCTTCCTGAAGTCTCTTTTATTTTTTAGAATAGAGTGATGGGAAATCTCTGGACACTTGTATTTCTCTACTCCCCCCAAACCACTTATCACTGCACCTGGAAGAATCTACTTATTAATTCAATCAATACTGAGCACCTTCTATTTTCCAGGTGTTGTGCTAGGTTCTGGAGTCCAAGGAAAATGGAAAATGTACACTTCAAATAATCACTTTAGTATTCTCATTACCCACTAGATTCAAAAATTTATTAAGAATTGTAGTATAGTGGTGCCTTGGTAATTTTTCTTTTTTTTTTTTTTCTGGTTTTCTTTTATCGGTTTACCCCCAAACCCAGGTCTTTGTAGTGGTTAAATGTCTCATAAGTGCTTGGCTGAGTGAATAGGTGAATGACTGTATGCTGAATAAACAATACTAGATTGAACACATGGGTGGATTTTTACGGGTTCAGGTACACACCACTCTTTTAAGTCATTCATAGACACTTGGAGATGAACTGAGATGAAAAACATGATTTGAGTAAGAGAAGGTTTAGGCAGCTAAGCCCAGGACACTGCTCAATCTTCCAGCATGCCAAAAAAATCAGAAGACAAGAGGGCAGGAAAGGGATGGGTTTCTTCTGTTTCCCTGACTGCCTGTTCCCTTTCTAGTTGGTTACTGGTTCTCCACCTCCATGAGGTTGCAGCCAGGATTCAGGCACCCAGTAATCACAGAAACTACAGCTTTGATTTATTAGTGCTTTTACTCTTAAGGCTTTTTCAGAGCTTGCCTCATTTTTTTCATCAAAGCCAAGATATGAGGAGATAGGGAGGCATTATCTCCAACTTCAGTTGGGAATTCAACACAAATGGCTCAGTGAGTTGCTTAGACTCATGCAGCTGAGGGACCTCCTGTCTGGTCTTTTCACAGGACCACTGCCTATAGTGGGGGTAGAGGGCCTGCTGACAAGGATACAAACGAACAGTCTATTTTCATCTTTCCTTAAAACTTACCCATGGGGACTAATAGGGTCATATGAACAACATTAACCTGAATTTCATTGCCTACAATCCCTCTCAAATCTCTAGGTGGTTTCTCACATGTGTTTCACAGCTACCTGCTGTGGCTTCCTTGCCAATGTCTGCAAAGTTTATCTTGAGAAAGTGATGTCTATACCAGGGTTGCTGTACTCTGACGTTCCCAAAGCTGCCAAGCCTTGGAGTGTATCTTACCCCCAATGGGGAGAGCTCCCTTCTTCCTTTCACAGGGTCCCCCTTCATTACTGGGCCCCACGGCTGTGCTACTTGTGCCTTCTCATGTCAGAGCCCATGGTGCAAACAACTCCTTCGTGACTAGGTTCAGACAGTACAACTCAGTTAAAATAATTTTCAAAGTATTTCATGTTTAATAAATTAGCAAGAACACAACAATAAAAACATCTTGTTTAAACTGATACTAGTTTTGTGTAGGGTGAAAGAGATGTCTGATAAGCATAGTACTCATTAGAGATGAGGTTACTGGAGGAAATATGTGTGTGGGGGGGAATCTTAATCATTGTGCTTCTTCCGGTACTCTGGAATTGAAAATAGAGAGGTAAATCAAGGAGAGTAGGAAAAACCATGTTAGAGTGAAGGAAAGGAAAATTGGCCCATGGAAAGGCTTAGCAAACATGAGTTAGACACAAGAGAGATTCAGACTAAGACAGAAGCACATGGTCTTTACATGCTCTCAATAATCCAGTATAATATGACATAGTTATTTAGAAATGAGCAGTTCTGAAGAGTAATCAGGGCCTATCTATAATTTGGTTTATTACAGTTTCTATAATTACAGCTTCTATTGCATAAATCTTTCTGCAGCTCTATTCGAATGCCCAAGGACATTTCTTACTTTCGAAGAGAAAGGGAATTGGCTCTAAAGAAAACTTTACAGGTGAGTAGGAGAGCGTAATTGTAATACACAATTGTATTGTAATACAACAATACACTGGATTTTGCTAACTTTTTGAAACATTTAGCAAGAAAACTTTATTTTCATCAAACACCAGCTGATGTTATTGACAGTGTTATGAGAGCAAAACAGCCCAAAGCTCACTGCTAGGTCAGAGTAGGCCACTACTTCTTTGGAGATACCTATTTTTTGTGATGTTTTGAAATTTTACAGTTTCTTGATTCGTGCTATTACAATTCGTTATTTGGAAACCGAGGTATAACAGTATAACATGTTGTGTAAAAACTATCAGAAATTGAATATCATTTGCTGTCGTAAACAATGGTAATTTTTCTTCCTTATTTCTTTGTTTGCCTGTTCTGCTGCCTGGGGTTCAGGTGGCTGAGTCAAAGCCCCTTGTTGTTCAAGCAGATGTCATGCAGAGGGAGCTAGAGAGCTGCCTAAGAAGAGAGTACACTCCTGAAAATTTACCTTTGCTTCTGTTGCAGGTAAGTAAGAGTCATGCTGCAATTTGAAAAACAGATCTGGAAATTAATAGAAATTTAGTTATCGTAACTAAACTATTGACTAAGTTTCTATCAATTACTCCCTGTGCTGGTATTATGAGGCAATACAATGCTAAGAAAGTCTCAGCCCTCAAAAAGCTGTTGACTTAGCTAGGGAATATATTTCTGAAAATGTATTTTAAGAAAATAACTCAAAATATGGTAGAAAACATTTTCCATAAAGATTATTATTGCAACATTACAATAAAAGTGAAAAAATCAGAATTGCCTAAATATCAAACAATAGGAGAGTTAAGAAAAATAGCATAATACTGGATAGAATATTGTTCTACCATTAAACATTTTTTAGCATAAGAAACTATTCTGTTATTATGTAATATTAGTTGACAAAAACTAAGGTGTGTGTGTTTCATAATAACGGTCATATAATATATAGAAAAAACACTTGAAGGACGTAGACCAAAATGTTAGCAATCACGATCTTTGGATGGCAGAACAATGAATCTCTTCTTTTTGCTTTTATATATTTTCTAAATTTCTTATAATAAGCATGTATTGCTTTGGTTTTTAAAACTCTTTGTTCTTTACTCTTATGTTATGAGTTATATTCTCACTCTGCATACAAATTAGTTCATTAGCAACTAGCAATTAATGAATAAATTAATCACAAAGAAATAAAAGATGTTGAGATTCTATTTGCCACCTAAACTTTTGTCATTACCGTCATCTAAGATTCACTTTCCTATCATTCTGGCACTCTTCATTCTTTGGTGTATATCTGTGATTGTCAGCGAAGAGAAGGGGAGACTGGAGATGGTGGACATCTGGCAGCGTCTAGAGACATTTTGTCACAATTTGGGAGAGGAATGGATTCCTACTGGCATCTAGTGGGTAGAGGCCAGGGATGCTGCTACATATTTTACTATGCACAGAATAGCCACACCACAAATTATCCAGTCCCAAATGTCAATAGTGCTGGGTTTAAGAAACCTTGGTGTAGCCTAAGCTTCCATATGATATAATTTATCTTCTGTCTAGAGAACAGACTTTAGGGGCGCCTGGGTGGCTCAGTCAGTTAAGCTTCTGACTTCAGCTCAGGTCATGATCTCACAGTTTGTGGGTTCAAGCCCCATGTTGGGTTCTGTACTGACAGCTCAGAGTCTGGAGCCTGCTTTGGATTCTGTGTCTTTCTCTGTCCTTCCCCTGCTTGTGTTCGCTCTCTCCCAAAAATAAATAAATAAACTTAAAAAAAAAAAAAGAACAGACTTTAACATGTCTTGTACTGCCGATCGGCCATGAATAAATTCTCTGTCTTTGCTTTTTTTTTGCAAAAAGTCTTCATTTTGCCGTCATTTTAGAAAGGTATTTTTGTTGAATGTAAAATTCTAGGTTGATAGTTTTTCTCCTTTGTCACTTTAAAGATGTTGCTCCACTGTCTTCTGGCATAGATAGTTTTCATTTCCTAACACAATGTGTCCTTTTGTTCTATGGGTGCTTTTAAGATTTTCTCTTAGGGGTGTCTAGGTGGCACAGTACATTGGGCATCCAACTTCGGCTCAGGTCATGATCTTGCTGTTCTCAAGTTCAAACCCTTCATCGGGCTCTGTGCTGACAGCTCAGAGCCTGGAGCCTGTTTCAGAATGTGTCTCCCTCTCTCTCTCTGCCCCTTCCCTGCTTGTGCTTGCTCTCTCTCTCAAAAATAAACATTAAAAAAATTTTAATTAAAAAAAAATATTTTCTCTAATGGTTTTAAGCTATTTGACTGTGGTATTCCTTGATGAATTTTTCTTTATGTTTCTCTTGCTAGGAGTTGGTTGACCTACTTGGATTGTGATTTTTATCATTTTCATCAGTTTTTGAAAGTTTTCAAATATTATTTATTTAAATATATTTTCCATCTCCTTCCTTCCTTCTGGGACTCTGATTAGACATTTGTTCAATCACTTTGTATCATTCTGTAAGTCAACGAAGCTCTGTTAATTTATTCTCAGTCTTTTTTTTTCCCTCAGTGCTTCATTTTGTATAGTTTCTATTGCTATATCTTCAAGTTCACTGATCTTTTCTTCTGCACTAAGCTGCTGTTAATCATATCCAATGAATTTTTCATTTCATATATTGTAGTTTTCTTTTGTACTTCTATTTGATTTTTTTGGTATTTTTCATTTCTCTCCTTATTATGTTCACATTTTCCTTTTAATCATTTTTATAAAAAAAAATGATTATTTATATTTGAAAGAGAGAGATAGAATGTGAGCAGGGGAGGGGCAGAGAGAGAGGGAGGCACAGAATCCAAAGCAGGCTCCAGGCTCTGAGCTGTCAGCATAGAGCCCGACACGGCGCTTGAACCCATGAACCATGAGATCGTGACCTGAGCCACAGTTGGATGCTTAACTGACTGAGCCACCCAGGTGCCCCTTCCTTTCAGTCCTTGAACATGCTGTGCATATTAGTATATTAGCTCTTTTAAAGTTCTTATTCGCTAATTTCATCACTGGTGCCATTTCTGGGTCTGATTCTCTTCATTAATTTTTCTCCTGCTTTTGGGTCACATTTTCCTGCTTCTTTGCATGTCTAGTAATTTTTTTTGACACTGGACATTTCAATCTTACATTTTTGTATGCTGATTTTTTTTAATTTACATCCAAGTTAGTTAGCATATAGTGCAATAATGATTTCAGTAGATTCCAGAAATCCATTCCCTATGTATAACACCTAGTACTCATCCCAACAAGTGTCTTTCTTAATGCCCCTTATGCTTTTAGCCCACCCCTCTCACCCACAACCCCTCCAGCAATGAATGCTGGTTTTTTTAAATTCCTTTTAAAGACTATTAGAGTTTATTCTGACAGGCATTTAAGTTGTAGATCGGCTTCATACTTTCAAGGCTTGGTATCAAGCTAGATCAAGTTTAGACTAACTTTCACTCAAGATCATTTATCCTTATTACTAAAGTGTGACTCTTCTGGTGTCTCCACTGAACGTGTCAGGTGGCAATGAGGACTCTTCCCTTTAACTGGAACTTGAACATTTCTTGTCCCTGTATGAACTGTGAGAACTATTCAGTTTATACTTCCCTAGTCAGTTATCCTTTGCATGGCCTCATGGAGTTTCACCCTCTGTATGCATAGTTTAATAGTCAGCAAAAAGCTCAAAGAAATGTCCATGCAGATTTCTGGAGCCCTTTCTCTGCACAACATCCCTCTCTCCAGTACTCTGCCCTGCAAATTCCAGCTGACTCAGCCTCTGAAGCTTCAATTTCTCTCTCCTTAACTCAGAGAGACTGCCGTGCTCTGTTTGGGATTTCCTCTCTTATTCTGTTGTTCAGAAACTGCCTTCTTCAGGCAGAAAACCAAGGTGATTGTAGGGCTCATAGCATTTGTGTCCTTCAAGGACCACAGTCCTGCATTGTGTGTTGTTTTATGTCAGAAAATAGTTGTCCTGTTTATTTTGTCCTATTTTCTAGTTATTTATGATGGAAGGATGAGTCTGTTCCTACCTGTTCCATCATGGCCAGTATTATATTTATTGTCATAAATAAAACATTAAAAATGGTTGGTTTATTTGACTATTTTTAAGTATAAATAAAATTTCTGGTCTAAGATTAAAAGCTATAATTTTACCTATAATGTGCTTCGTATTTTTAGACTTATAACTTCAGTTTTTAAGAAATTTTCAGTGTAAGAGATGAAGAAGGACATTATATAATAGTTACAGGGTCTATCC